GAGAAAGCTGACGTCAATGTCTTTTGCTTCTCGAAATTGTGGCAGAACCAAGTGGTGTCCAGCAGCTGCTGCCCTCTTGACGAGAGTCAGTTTGTGGTTCCGGGCCAAAACGTTGTTGCGTCCAGCGCGGAGGGCCGGCGGAACTACACTGACGCGCAAGAAACTGCCCAGTGGCTTGGAGGGGACCACATCCCTGAACAGATCCTGAGTGACTTGCTGAACAGCCACTTGTTATTATTAAAATATTTTGGTGTTCAAGATGTCATTGCACAACGACCTGTTTTGTGTTCAGGCTTTCCACTTACTCTTGATTTGCCCTGGGCATCACACCACGGTGAGGCACTGGCAATGAGATCAAGCCAGTGATGGTTGTCAATGCGGCCACGTTCGATGGATGCCTCGAGAAGACCTGCGTGAAGAAGGGTCTTCCATGCGTATCCCAGTCGGAGAAGCAGCCCCACTTCGTCACGTCTTTGAAGATCACGAAGAGCTTTCTCCTGGACCTCTGGAAGGAACATGAGGGAGCGATGGAAAATGCCTTGCCTCGCTATGTCCCTGAGCCGAACCCAGAAGTGCTGCCATCCGACCCACAAGAGCCCAGCTTGAAGGTTTGTTCTTTGGTCGATGGCTGCTTGTGTCTTCCTCGCAACATCAGGGCTGAGTTCCTCACAGACGCAATCAGGGGCCCCGAATGGCGCAGGATGCTTCAAGAGTTCGATCGGTGCTTCGGGACAGCAGCCACACCAGAAGAGCCCAAGGCTGTCTCTGAAGGCGATGATGGCAGTGCTCAGGAGAAGACTTCTTTTGATTGGCCCGGTGCCTTTGATGAGCCTCAGGGTGCAGAGGAGTGGCACGCCAAGTATGATTCGCTGATTTTTGGCAAGTTCACGTGGTGCCCAGAGCTGACTGCTTACATCGTCAAGGAAGGTGTTGATTCATCTGTGGCGGACCCCGACGCACCCAAGAAGTTCAAGCTGTTCATTGAAGCAAATGAGGCCTACACACTGGGTGCCACTGATCCGTTCCTGACATACGGGGCTGGGGCATGGCTTCTGGACAACAAGGCCGAGGCCTTTCTGTCTGACAACGCGGAGCACGGTCACAAAGGTGTGGTGTGCAAGTTCAGCTCTGACTTGGACCCCGTTGTGCTTGAGGAGTGTGTTTGAAACCGGCCCATGGTTCTTTGTGAAATTGAGCTCTAGTCTTAATTCATTCTGTCTGTGGGTCGATGTGTACTCAGTTAAAAGGTGTTCAACAACAACAGTGGTTAATTATCACTGCAGGAAAGTGGTCATGATTCGGATCTGAAAACACTCCGCAGTGTGATTCAGCACTGTGAGACGTCCGGGATGGTCGACTTTGAGATTGGAGGCCACACTTTTTCGAGGCCAGCGTCAGTGGTTCAAGGGTTGTCTGCCGACAAGTTCCTTGTCCTAAGCCTGCAATCTCTTTCACATGTGAAATTTGCTTGTGTTTTTTGTCAATGGCAACTAATTATTTTGCATGTGTTTTGATTGAAATGCACCCCAGGTTTGACATTGCCACGAAGGCAGGCAGCTGCATGGTTTGGCGGCCAAACAACCTACAGGTCACGGGCTTGCGGGCGACCAACGCTGCGAGCTTTTTCTTATCCAACCTCTTGGAAGCTTCGCCAGGGCTGAGGAAGGCGAGGGCTAGCAAAATTCCACTAGTGTTCATTAGAGACTTCCCCAGCCATGCAGACTTTCCCAGTCATTCTCACTTCCCAGTCTTTCTGGCTTCCCAGCCATTTGTGGTTTCCCAACCGTTTGTGGTTTCTCAACCATTCAGTTTCTGATGCCCTCCTCACCAGGTATGGCGCGTTCGACCGTATCGGCCTGAGAAGACTCTCGGCGCAGCAAAGCCAATGTGGTTCCTCAGCCACACGTTGGACATGGCAAAGGGAACCGTGCAAAGGGTGGTGTGAGCTAGCTGCTGCATCATGGCGGGGTCATCTTCACTCTTCTTCATGGTAGGTCTTGTGAATATCAATGAATCATGATCAACTAAAAGACTCTGTGTAGTATTCATCTTTGGTGTGTTCACTTCTTTAGTAAAAGGAATCCTGCCAGCAGCATCACACTGGCTACGTGCGAGTCACGGTTGCTTTTTGAATTTTGAGTTCATTTCTCACAGCTGGAGCTGGGAACCCCGCGCTTCCCTTAGACTCCAGTGGCGGCAGCGCACCTTGCGATTGGATCGAGGATGACAAACACCAATCAGAGACTTAGACTGACTCAGACTCGTCGACTTAGACTTAAACAGCAAATCACGTCATACTTTGTGCCACCTGTATTGAAATTACTGGCTTAATGACACAATTAATTTAAACTGTGGATATGTCATCTCGCGAATTCGAAGTTATTGCTCGTCTGATATTTGTGGACATGTCATATCACAAGTGGATCGGAGGTTTTGGTGAGCTTTTTGGTTCATATACAGGTTGAACACTGTTCACGTATATTTTCAGAGCGGGGACGCTAAGCCCATGGAACCTGAGTGGGTGGAAGATGAAGTGGAGTTCGCAGAACCTACACCGCATGGAGGACAAGAGTTCCATTCCATCGCTGCGGATGCCATTGTGCCGATTTTGAGCAATCACGCTCCAACATTTTCTTATGGAGCCCAGCTGGCACAGCCTGTTGAGCCGATGAGTGAAGAATCTTACCACACGCCTGCTCCAAACAATGCCAAGAAGACCTGGACACCTACGCCTGAGGATTGGGAGGTGAAATATTTTTCTATGGATTGTGTAATATAACTATTTCCTTTATGTTTCTTCAATACATCATCACCCTGGGAGGAGAGGCAGAAACAATACGGCGCAGCTCGGCGAAGCCTCTTTCCGGAACTGCCTGAGGATGGTGCACTACCCAAATCTGATCCATATGAACCCATGATATCCGAGGTGAATGATGGCAGCCATGATTCCCAGATTGAGCCGATCATTGAGGAGCTGCAGATGGACCCAGAGCCAACGCCCAACGAGAAGAAGCTTGAGCCCAGTCAGCTAAAGGCCACTCACGAGCTGCAGCTTGACCCGAAGCCACAGCCACATCCCTTGGAGCCACCCAAAGAGCTTGAGCCCACAGAGCCAAAGGCCACCGAGGAGCTGAAGTTTGACCCGAAGCCACAGCCCGTGGAGCCGAAGCTTGAACCCAAAAAACCAGAGCCCACCAAGAAGTCTGAGGCAAAGGAGCCAATCAACAATGGATCAGGTGCATCGCTGGAGGCTCCACCTCCACCATTGGAAGGTGAAGGTGGTCAACCCAAGAAAAAAAGGAAGCTGTTGAAGGACATGACACCAAACAGCAAGGAAGCAGAGCTGGTGAGGCGTCGGGAGGCGAACAAGGAAAAGAGCAAGCTTTGGCACCAGAAGTGGGCGAGCAAAGGTGTTCCAAAGTCTGCAGGTGATGACCAGGGTGAGGCAAGCAATGTGGAGCTCGCAGCGCTTCCTGCAGGCGATGATGGGGGTGACGCAAAGGATGTGAATCTTCCTGAAGGTGATCATGATAGCAAGGCAAAGGATGACTTCAAGCCCAGCCAGGAGTTGATGGACATGGCGGTGGATGGTGATATGCGGAAAGTTCGTTCCAAGTTCCTGTGCCAATGGCATGAATGGCATGCCTCTGAATCTGAGCCTGGGAAGGCCAAAAAGGAAGCCGAGAAGGCTTGGCTGGAGAGTGAGCTTCGCGCTCAAATTCTCGCTGGCCGTAAGGGCAAAGTCTACTAACTCGCAACACGTGGCAGAGTTGAAAAAAAAGGGCTACCCACTTTGTGCGAGTTGCTGTTACTTTCATTCGTATAAGTGGCAATGCAGCCAACAACCCTCACCCCTACTCCAGAACAGTCCAGAGACCCAGAGGTTCCCACTCCACTCACGTGACCCTGACCGGCTGCAGGCGCCGAGCCTGGTTCTTGCGTGAAGAAGGAGTGAGGCCTTAGGCGCGTTAGGCGTCAGGCTGAGAGGCCTCTTAAATGTGTGGCTGGGAAGCCTCTTGGCTGGGAAGCCTTATAAGGAACACAGAGCATGGTCCAAGATGGTCCAAGATTCAAATCCAATCCGACAAATAAAAAGACAAATGCATCACACAAGGCTCTGAGTCTCACAGTATGCTCTTAGGACGTGGCTGGGGCCATCCATCACCCAATCACCCGACCGCAGTGGCCAAAAAGAACTGTGCGACATGATGGTGATGGTCATTGACCATGTGCCTATTCCATGGTGATTGATTCTAATTACTTTGTGTGATGCCATGCCATTCTCTTAGTCTCTTGGCTGTGAGCCTGTGTGGCTTCCCAGCCATATGGCTTCCCAGCCATGTGGCTTCCCAGCCATGTGGCTTCCCAGCCTCATCATCATCGGTGGGCTTCCCAGCCTCTATGGACTTCCCAGCCCCATGCATTCATGCATGCATCATGCATCTCATCATCTACTTACCTTGAATTTCCATCCAAATAGAATGAATGTTACTTATATACAGATACATATATATATATATCGCCATGTGAGTGATGGAATCTATTTCCGTTAAACTATCACATGGACCTTCCTTACCTCGTTCTCCAATCCCGCATCGTTTTTGGTGTGTGATCTCGTTCTCCATTCCTGTATCTCGTTTTGGTGTGTGGATACCCATCTCGTTCTCGAGAGGTGTTCCTACCTCGTTTCACAAGCTAAACATGTCATTAATTAACCAAACCATTTCAAACAAATGGCGCATTTGATGCCCATCTCGTTCTCGGGGTGTTCCTACCTCGTTTCGCCAACTAAATCTGACATTGGGCTATAGAAAAGGAACGCCCCTAGACTAATCTTCACTACCGCAAATAAAAGCCGTTGCTCATGTACTTTCGCAAATCATGCCCGGTGTAATGAAGTTTGTGGACGCTTTCGCAACCCAAAATGACCAGCACCGCTGCATTCGCAGCAGGACCGAGGAAACTCTTCCCACAAGCGCCATGGAACCCTCCCACCCCACCGCATGATTCTGGTGAAACTCAAACTTCTCCCGGTCTTTCATAGCACGTCGCTGCGCCTGAGCAAAAGGGGCTTGCGAAAATGCATTTCGTCAATGAACAAACAGCAGCAGGAGCTTTCGGACTAAATCTCAATGCCATGGCAAACATGTTTCAGCAACAAAATGTGCTAGCGTATTCCTCCGACTTTCCAGTGCCACTGAATAGCTGCATATCAGGTCCATTTCCAACAAAACAAGTCAAAGGCCAAAGGCCCTTCTGTATGTCAACACTCGCCAATCTCCCGCTATGAAGGAACATAATCACATGCACCGATGTGTGCAAGTAGCTTCATTTATCAACTGTTGGCTGGCTGCCCAAAATGGTTACCTGAACAGGTTGATCTGAAGTTGAAGGAAAAGACATGCTTCAGGTGTTCACGGCAAGCCGTGTGAATAGTACCCCTGCTTTTGCAAAAAGAAACGTTGTATAGGTGGAAAGAAGCTGTTCCTGAAGGTCCAGGTTTCATGCGGATGTCGACTTCTTTTCGACAGGTGAAACCTCGCCTTTGCAAGCAACCGTTATATTACACACAGCACTTTGTCTGTCATGCGCAGGATGTGGCACGTTGGTGAGGCGAAACCGCTGTGAGAAACACCCCGGCTGTTCTTGTTGAAGGGTTGACGGTTGACTGGGCGTCAGAAACAAACCCTCCTGCTAAATCAAGAGCAGCCGCAAACGGCGCATCATAGCACCTCACTTTTTCAGAAGGCGCTCCGTTTCATGTGATTCATCTCTGCAACAGCAATCCCAACAGTGTGAATAGTGTTCATCGACATCTTTTTCCACCCCATCACGGTGCGCTACAAGACCTCGACAATAGACGATGGTGTCAGTGATGGTCTGAAAATGGTGCAAAAAGCAAAGCGACATTACCAAACCGATGAGTCCGCTAGCCAAGGCCATGCTGTCAGGGTCTGAAACATACCTCACGACAAATGACAAACAAATGAGCTGAGCAAAATTTGACCTGGACATCAACAAAATCCAAAACATATGACCAAGCATGCAAACAAAAAGGAGGGGAACATGATCTACCTCTGACTCTCATCTGGCTCTCCAAGAAAAAACTAAAGGTTTGCCGAACTCCAAGGCATCACACTGACCGCTGTCAACATCTGTGTATCGGTCCAGAGTCTTCGTCAGCAGCCACACCAAGAAGCCAGTCCCAGCTGCTATACTGCCAACTCCCAGAGCAACAAACATCGTGCCAACACCCTCAACCGCTGTCCATTTCCCAGCCTTGTTGAAGATGACTTCACAGGCATAGGAGGTTGACTCACAATACCCCTCTGTTCCATCGGTCGCCATATGCATGAATGCCACCTGGCTTGTCAATTCCAAGATTCTCCTGGCCCAGTATTTGCAAGTGAGAAACGCGCCCGGTGACAGCAATTTAAAGCAAAACAGTGTTTTGAATATTTAAACGGCATCTCAGTTCATAAACATGGATAGCGGGTCTACCGTTGACCCCGGCCCGGCCCGAGGCCCGGCCCGGCCCGTGCGAACTCCCTTCCCAGGCACAGCCGTCAGGAGGCCAGCTGACGCAGTGGGCAAAGGAAGAATCTATGCATCAAAATGTCTCCACAAATATGTTAGGGGAGGGATCGGCAAAGTGTTTTTTGTCTGTGCGAACAAACACCTTTCTACTGTTGTCGGTCTACGGAGCTGTATTGGGGGTTTAGTTTTGATTAAACCCTTTTTGGTCGATTGATATTCATACCCTTGGGTGTGGGGTTTGGATCAGGATGTAATACCCTTTGTGATCGAGTGAGGGCCCTTACTCGACCAAAAAGGGTTGTCAAAACTAAACCCCAAGTACAGCTCCGTAGACCGACAATATTAGAACACGGTTTATTCGCACAGACTAAAAAAACCTGCCGATCCATCCTCTATGACGTGTTTGTCGGCACATCTTGATGCATAGATTCTTTCTTGGCCCACTGCGTCAGGTGGTCTCCTTACGCCACGCCGGGGCGGTGTACCCGGCAACCGATTTGAGGTGTGGTTTGGTGGATTCCACACAGGGCCTATACAAATGGAAGGACAGCAGTGGGCCGGCCCGGACCGCCCGGACCGACCCGCATTGGCCCGGCCCGCGGTGGCCTCCGGGCGGGCCCGGACTATCAAACAAACAGTCTAGAGTTGTCCTTACGTGCATAGTCATTCCACCACGAGGCCTGATGAATTTCATTATGCCGTGCAAACTGGTGATGAACGTGTATACAAAATAGTCCGATAGCCGATAGGCCTGACAATACCTGCAAACAAATCAAAAGGGTTTTTGTCAAAGCAAAGATGCTGTATTACCTCCAAGAACGAGTCGACAAACCATGTTGCCGCGGCCAAAATGCAGGCCGCACCATCGTTGTAGCTAGCCACTTCTTCTGCAGCCAAAAACGCCTTCATGACCCAGCGAATGGGGCGCAGAATTGCCATCAAAATTGATGCGTAAATCAGAGAGCCTAAATGTTTCATGGCAGCCGCTGTTCCTTTTAGTATCAATGTTGACCCGCACATTTCACAAAAGCCACCACGTTTGGCACACTTGTAGTGCTTGAAGAACCATACTTCAGCAACATATATCACAATGAAAACCGAAATGTAGTGAAGGACTTCCATCGTGACCAGCCACGCAAACAGAAAATAGACAGCACTGGCTGAAGACAGAAAGCTCGGGTGGAACAAGGATTGTGGCTGCGTTAAGTCCACAGAGACCCCATAGTCACCTGAAGTGATTAACATCAGGAAAACCATGCATCCAGCGGCACCAATGGGAAGCTTCGCCAGCAAGGAGACTAGAGGTTCCAGCAAAAGAGAAGGCATCGTCATCAAACAATCAGCAGCCTCTTGCACGGCAGTAGCCGCTTCAGCGCATTTGCCACATTGGAAACATGCACATGCCAAAACAATGCAAGATGCAGCTACTCCAGCAATGCCGATGATCAAACCATGCCCATTCACGATGCCCAAATAGCTGGCAACTCCCAAGTCTTCAGCAGCTTGAGGCATTTGTCCCTGCTGCTCCTTGTGCAGGAGCAAGCCTCCAAAAAGTCCAGGAATGATGACTAGGGCGGATATAGCTGCATTAGTAAGCAAAACCGCGCACGTCTCTACAGCACATAGGAATACCAAAACAAGGATAACGGACAACACTGTCGCGACCAAAAGCAGCTCCTTGTGGTGCCACAAATCAGATACTTGCAGAACTAACAGTAAAGCCCAATTCCGGTGTGCCAGGTCTACAACTTCCTCTGAAGCACCATCTGGCATGCAAAGAATACCTGCAACCGGAAAGGATCGGTACCCTGCAAATGACACCTCCTGCAACTCGGGTTCCGTCATCTCTGCCACAGGAATGGCAGAAGAATCCAGCCCTGGCAGCATTGTGGTCGCTGCAATGGATGGACCCAACAATTTTGCTACAGTCTCACTATGTTGAGCTGATTTTGGCACATCTGGAGGCAGGCCTCCTTGAGGAGTAACTGATGTTGCTGCAGTCTGGTCTTGCTTGGCTGCATTTGGCACATGTTGTGGGGGCGAGTCTGTTTTGAGATCAACTGATGTTGCTGCAGTCTGGGTGTTTTGCGCTGCCTTTGGCACATCTGGTGGCTGCAAGTCCGTTCTGGGATCAACTGATGTTGCTGCAGTCTGGGTGTTTTTGGCTGCGTTTGAAACATCTGGTGGCGGCGAGTCTGTTTTGGGACTGACTGATATTGCGGCAGTCTGTGTGTTTGGGGCAGCATTTGGCACATCTGGTGGCCGCAAGTCAGTTTTAGGATCAACTGACGCTGCCGTCTGGGTGTTTTGGGGTGCATTTGGCACGTCTGTTAGAGGCAAGTCAGCATTCGGAGGAAGTGATGTTGCAAAAGTCTCTTGGACTGCAATTGGCACATCTGGTGAGGGCAATGCCTGGCCTGGTGGCCTAAGCAAGCTGTTTGTTTCTGGAGCAGCATCACCCATTGGAATGGCAGCAAGCAGGGTACCAAGACGCCGAATGGAGGTGTCTGGCTTTAAGTATGTTGTTACGGTGCTGTCGCTCGATGTCGGACATGTTTCAACACAAACGTGTCTATGGAGGTCAAGATCACCATTTCGCAATGGGAAGAACACAAACTTATCCAAGCCTCACTAAGGACAGGCCCAAGCGAAGTAAACCAATACAATTCAAGGTGCATCCACATCCAAACGACAAAACTTGTTGTTGAAGGCCAAGGAACATTGTCTACCTTGAAAGTCTGGCAGGGACTGCAGCCGCTGGAAATTGCCATCTTGTATAGCATGAGAACAGCAAAGTCCAGCGTCAGCCAAGATCCCTGCGAAAACCAGTACACAGCAAAAGTCCGTGCATGTGCGAGAAGCTTCCTCCGGTGTGCGTGGCAGTTGATCAACGTCTTTGGCCATGACTCGGGTCAAGCAAATCAGCAAGGCCACTGTCAATCTTCCTTCTTTGAGCAAGAATGACAGCTTGCAAGTGAGGCGTGTTGCTCCAAACAAGGATGGCAGGATACAATCCCGACAGTCTCAACATGCGACGTGGCTTGCCTAAGATCCAACAACAAAAATTCTGGGAGTCTAAGGAGGATGCATCAGACCTCAAATAACATTATAAATATCTCACTGCAAGTCTCTTCACAATATGTTGCTCATCCCCGAAGGCCTTCTTTTCCAGCAGCATTGAGTCTGACAGGCAGCTTTCTAGTCGACGGAGCTCCTCCTGATGACGAAACTAACGTTCCAAAAGTGGCTGATACACACACACCACATATACACAATTATAGAAAGCAAGCAGTTGCAACATGTGCAAAATCTTGCATGATGTTCCTTAATTTTGTAGATGAAGCAAATCCTGCCTAAACTCGTGCCTACTGTAATAAAGCATCTCTTTCACAACATTACAGTATCTTTCCTTCTAGCAATTCGATTGGGCAGCGGCATGTCTATTCAAAGGGTATTTGTTGAATGCCTTCACACGTCATCCTTCATGGAACCTGCCTACATACAAGTACCCTACCTTGTCAACAACCCTCCTCTATCATACATTGTCTCTTGCCTTAGCCTTGACTAACCTTACCCTGAGGGACAGACTTCTGAACATATGTTTTGAACAAACACATTACTGTCTGAAGGTTTTTGCACAGTGCCCCCCAGGAATGCCAAGCAGTGCAGCCAAATATCACCTCAAAACTAACCCAAATGTGAGAGAAAACTGCACTGCCAGGAGTGTCCGTTACGTAGTTGTACAAATTATTTATGATGTGGCCACAGGTTGTCCAAGACTATGCTCTTGGACGCTCCTATGAAATTCCACTTGTCTGCCATGAGGCCATTGCGTACAAACAAATTGTTCAGTTTTACTTTCATGCCGTTTCTTGTTGCAAACATGGTCCGCTGGAAATTGAACTTGCCTAAAGGCATCAAGTCGTTGTTCTGTTAATAGACACGCCTACTCAAGAGCAATCCTGCGATCCCCAAGCCCAATCTAATAGAAAGCATCTTCCTGAAAAAGATTAGGGAGAACAAAACAGTCAAACAAACAATTTTCCAGCAACTCTAACCGAATTACTTGCAGTGAGATGCCTTCTCTGCTCTGTGTTGAGCTTTCAACCAGGACAATTGCACTTTGATCTTGTCCTCAGCGATCAGTACATCAGGCGACTCATCCACTGTCCAGCACTAGGTAAGTGTATTTGCTTCGTCCATTCTAACCTGCGAAAATCACTGCTGCCAGGCTGACATCTGAAGTGAAACCCAGCATGTTCAACAGGAAGCTTGCCAAGGGACGACGTGTTCATCATCCTTTGTGATGGAAAGGCGCGATAAAGCTTGAGCCTGTGCAGCCAACTCCTGCAACTTGGGGGCTGCCACGTCCCGAACAAGAGAACTTACGATTATGTGGCTAACTCTGAGAATCTTGAAAACCATCAGAGATATGCTAAGTGGTTAACATAAACTTACGAGTGCGGACACTAAAGAATTGCAAGTACACAAATGCGCCATGAGGATCCATGAGGTGGGGCTTGACTGCCGCATCGAACAGCTCCGAAGCATGGAACAGCGAGTGAAATTCTGCCACCGGAAGAAAGAACAGGTCATGTATCCACTTGATGGCTTGCGTGACTGTTGAGCACTCCATGATTGTCATTCTCACTCTCTCGCTCACTATCTCTCTCTCTCTCTCTCTGTCTCTGTCTGTCCCTCCCTCTCCCTCCTGCTCTTTCAATGGGTGCAGCTTTACTTGAGACTTTGGTCGCTGGGCGGACTCTTTCATGAGGGACCTCAAAACATATCAGCATCTTCAAGAGTGTCTTCACTTGAGGCTTGGGGTCGACGGGCAAAATCTTTTTCGAAGGACGTCACAAGTATATGATCGTATATATTTATAATTTACAATTCAGTGCTTTCAAGAGCGATTTGATACGGAAGCTGGCCATGCCAACCAACAGGAAATGCACTGACCCTATTCCATGGCTTGGCGCAAATCATGAATCAGACGAGTGGCAAGCCCACATAACGCGCCACATCCGAGTAGCGGATGCTTGGCGCCGGCGACGCCTCGTGGCGCTTCCAGTGGAGCTTTCCGGCAACAAACGAGCCGACAAGAAAATCAAGAAAGGCCCTTGGCGGCTCCCAGGAGCCGTTCATCATGCAAAGCATGCAAGAACATGTGTAGCGAACGTACAACCACGTTGCCGACCTTCGATATGTGGCGACACTACCCTGTGGCAATCACCATGCTCACTCAGTCACTCACACTTTGACTTGCAGTTTAGCTGCCATGTGGTCACCTGGCCCTCGTCCAAAGTGACAAGGAGAAGAGTGACCGGACTTGAGCAACTTGGCAGCAGTGTGCTGCTCGAGCTGGTAGCAAAGTCGTATCTCTCCGTATCTCTCTGCATGCTCAACATTGAAACGTATTAAATCAGCTAGCGCCGATCTGCGCACCCTGGTGATTGACGTCCTCATACCCCTGAATGTGTTCATGAAAGAACCAGCGGCCCAGCGGCCCAAGGCCAGGCTGAACCGTCATGGCGCGATCCCGAAACAAACACCAACTTGTCAGACGGCAAGCGAAATGCCTCCACCAAACTCACATGTTCCTCGTCTGGCCCTTGAAGATGAATCACCTTGACCACAACATTGGCTGAATCGACACCAGCCAGTTTTACTGTAATAAACCTGCTATGTCCACCGATTCTGTAACAAACACCGCCCGGTGGAGCTCTGCCAAACCCGGTTGGCTGCTGATGACAAATCTACCAATCTAGAAACCTACCCAGGGGCTACTCTACAAAGGCTTACAAAGTGAATGAGGGGGAATTGAAGTCATGCAAGCTGCGCGCTACGCCCCTAGTACATGTAGTTACTTTGCAACATGACAATCAATCACAAGGAGAAAGGCACACCGCCATCAATCTGATTGCTTGGGAACTGCAGAATCTCCGCCTGTCGAATCTCCGTCTTCGCAGTCCTGGCCCGTATGCGACTGGCTGCTAACTCCAAAACTCACCTGAACAAACATTTTTACATGTTCTTCCATATGTGTTTCAATAGGGAGACCTTCGGACCAATGAGTTTAGTATATTTTTGATATTCCCAAAGGTCCGTGGAATGCACACCCAATCTGTGTTCACTCTCAACTTTCAATCGGATCAAACTCTCCTGCCATTCTCATCAACAACGCTTCGCCATGAACCATCTGACTGGCGACACCCTGACAAGGGAGCCTGACATGTGCAAAGCGCAGCAAAGCCAGCTTTTGAACCCTTCCAGTCCAGCAAATTACTTGCTGCCACCTGCAAGCTTGACCGACAAACTATACCTCATGATGGCTCCAGCACTTTCAAAAATGCAATCTTGTCAGAGCCACAACAATACTTTGAGGCTAAAGCTGAAAGCAACATGCAAGCAATTGCAGGGATGCTCATTCCTACAGTGCTGTATGAACTGTCACTGGGGACATTCACAGGCCTCGATCATGCGATTTGGGGCCTTAGAGGTGAACTTCCAGTTCCGATGTCGCTGATTACTGAGGATCAATGCAGATCAATGACTAGAGCTTCAAAGCAAGAAATCTTCAAACACAAATCTTTGGGCTCGCCGAAATCGAAATCACTGCCCCCCCCCTTCCCCCGAACGAAGGGGACACATGTTAGAGGTGAAAGCAGTCGAGTACAAACATGGATTCATAGATCTGCGGGAGTGATTTAATTTGACGTTCTTGCTGAGATTATGCAACACGTCCTCACGAAGCTCGCGCAAAGCAGCATGGCTAAACATCACGATGTTGCAATCCGATCAGTGGCAAGGCACAAGCACATCAGCAACCAAACAACTATCCGCATGATTTCGGCACACGTCTCGGATTTGGTGTTTTTTTCGTCTGCAGCTGAGGTCAAAATGATCTTTGCATCCCTGCTCAGCACTGAGCATTCACCCCAGGAGAGAGTCATTGATATTACAGTATATCCATCAAATCATTGGCCCTGTAAGTGTTGGTTTAGCAGCCTCATCTCATCACGGATCTCTCGAAGTAACTGGTTGGTCTCATTTGCACCTGACTGAGGCATTGACGGAGCTCCGGTTCCCTGGCGTTTCATTTCCCAAACCGCTTGCTTCAGAGCGTGGGGGTCATGTAAGCCAGTCAAAACCAGCTCATGTGATTCAGGACCAGAAGAAGCCGTGTCGACAATCAAGCTGGTCAATGTTTTCTGGATGCAGCAGCAAGCCATGCCAGCAGGTTCATGCACATCACAATCTGTAATCTTGTCGTATGGCACGGTCTTCGACACTTTCCCTGCATCGGTGCAGGACAAGCCGCACATTGTTGGATGCCTGTCGGTGACATACTTGATGCCATCTTCCGTGAGGGCAACGTGCTGCGCTCTTGTCCTCCATTCCACATTCTGTTGCAAGAAACATGGGCCACAGCAAGCAAGTGAGAGGGGCCAAATGCATGGAATGGAGAGCAAAGAAACCCATGCTACCTTGGTCTCAAAGTCCTCAATCTCATCCTTAGAGTCCAAGAATGTCCGTTCGCATATCAAAGCATCGACAAAACACAGACCCTCGCATGCCTGTCTCGACCCCACACCAGTGAAAACACGGTTGAACATGTTTGAACTGTTTAATGTGGAATTTCAATGAACATTTCAAGATTGCGCAGGCTGACAAGCACCAAAGTGGGGCCCTTTTTTTTCCAGATGAGCAACGTAGTCAAAGTCAAAGACCCCCACCAAGTGACGCTCATTATCGAAGAAATCATCCTCCGCCTCTGGGACAGGTGTCTCTAAGCGGCGCCGCTCATTCCCGCCCTTCTTCAGGAAAGGATGCTGCTCCATGCTTGCTCAATGCATTTTGAGCCAAAGGGGGCTATGTAACTGCACTATGCACCCGAAAGGTCTTCGCTCTTTTGTACAATGTCTTTTGGGATGCCTCAATGATGCCTTCTGGCCAATTTGGATAAGCCCCTTCTTGTATGAACGACAGAACCTGATGGCTTGTGCTGGGGGATCCGGGGTCAGTACAAACCTTTAAAGTCATTTCATTTATATACTGCGTAAATTCTATAAACTGTCCAGGAGGCAAGCGGCACAAGGGCGTGCAGGCCCGGGAATTGAAGCAAGGCACGTCAGGGAAGAGATGTCCATGGCAAAGCGCCAAGTAGATCTTCGTCACTCGCCGTGTGGCAAACTGAAGCCTGAAAGGTGCATGCTGCATGTCTTTATCTGTCCACTACTCCTCGCTATTTTGTCTGGCGATTGTGCAAAGTAAACCAAGAATGAACATGTGACTAAGCAGAATGACAAATACTGTACATCCAATGCTTGGTGCGCGGCTGTGACAAGAACAGGCCCGCATAGCTGGTTGCCCATATGACAGCGCCTGGAGCACGGCGAAGACTAGTGCACCACATTGAGACGCGCCGTCGCCGCCGGGAAGCAGCTGACCAATTGAGCTAACAAATGGTGCTAACGTGCAAAAGGTGCCGACCAATTTGATAACTGCATCTTCCCTGCAAATCTGAGAGTCTCTTAGCTGGGTGGCGATTTCAAGGCGTGCTTGCTTGCTTCATGTGTTGTCGATGCTTTTGTGGACGGATCTCCTGAAGTGAAGCGGTCTAAACGATGGACAAGGCCATAGAGATGCCGCGGGTCTGTGCAAACCTAGGCGGGAGGAAGAAAACAAGCCACACATGGGGACACCTAGGCGGCAGGATTCAGCTGATTTCCTTGGCTCATTTTTTGCTTGATTCTCTGTCCCTCCCCAAAAAGTCCACCACGCTTCTGCCCTACTCCCAGAAATTTCTGTACTCTACAAATACTATAGTAGACTTGTAAGGATCCCCTCTGTGCCAATCTCTGAGCCCTTGGCGGGAAATTGGCTCCCATGTTTAATGACCTGCGAAAGGGCCCAGCTACTCCCACCATCTCCCACCGTTTGGATAAACAGTGCTCGCTCCGCAAGCGTGTCATTGTGCACCGTTTGGCGGTCTTGGACTGACAGAGAGGGAGAGAGAGAGTTTCCTTGCCATTTCCACCAACAAGAACCTTCTTATGAGATGCTATGAAAAAATGGATCTGCATCGCATCTGGCAATGTAAAAAGAGTGCTGCAATTGTTTGAGAGTATCACAGGCGTTTGCATTTATCTTAGTAAATTTATAAGTGCATGTCTTTTCGCATCTTTTTGCCCCAGGCCACATCTCTTCAAGTACGTAAGAGTTGAATAGAGCATGAGGCTCGAAAATTGTGTCAGCTTCAGAGCTTGCTTCACCTGCACGGCGCTGCAGTGCAAAAGCCAATAGGCTACCTACATGCCGGATATATAGCAGAGAAGGACGTTCGTCTCTCGTCCAACAAGCCCCTTTTTGCCATTTGGTTCTTGCATCTGTTTGGGACTTGGCTTCGCACCGCCACTCTGCTTGTAATTTTCCCCTCGCGTTTTCTTGATCAGTTCTTCACCAAGACATTGCATTGCAACTCCATCCGTTCTCGGATGAGATTGCACCCTGCTCCCCGGGCCATTGCTAGCCATCAGCAGGGATACCCCGGAATTAGCTCAATGAACCTTGAAGCCCAAACGTTTGCTGAAGAGCCTCAGATCGTTCCAATGTCGAGTCGAGAGACTTCTTCACTGGCGCACATCACTGATTGAATCCGGATGCTGTTGCACGTCTAGACATCACAATTGATAATTAACTGCTAAATGTTTGATAAACTGGTGATTGAGCTAGGTACTGTTTGATTAACTGATGTTTGATAATTAAACTGTACGGTGATTGCTTGTTACAGTACAACACTCAGTACAACATCTAGGCTACTGACCTGGTACCTCCAATGATCTGTGCCTTATGCACACATCGGAAATGCAGAATGTCCCAGGGGATTTGAAGACCGAAGGGTCCTTATGGGTCCTTCTCTCCTTGCGCTGCCTTGAGCTTCCAGCATCAAGCTCCTGCAGCTCCGAGCTCAGCATGTTGCCTTTTGCGAGCCTCGGCCGCAAGGCGGAAGTCAAGACTCACCTGTCACACTACGGTGTGCCATCACGAGACATGAACAAATACGAATACCGTAGACCCTTCTCTCTTTCAGACCGCCACTGCTGATTTTCTGGGGACCGATCAGCAAATCGAACCTTCCCTATCTTTCATTATGGTGCCCCACAATGGGTCTTTGTAATCACTCATCATCAAGTTATACCTCTGTGTGTGCAGCAAGGCAATGCGTAGCGCATGCGGCAATAAGCTGGTGCTGAAGTCGATTCGTCAATGCCAGTGCTGCTGAGAATCCAGGGCACGCTCACGGTTTGCCTGCTCGTGGCTGCGCTTGCGGTCTTTTCCAATTACATTGTCGTAGAGAGTGACATGATGTGACATGCTCCTAGGAGCTTCGACCAAGGCAATCGAGCACTCACCACTCCTTTTGTCACTTGTTCCTTCTCCCAGTGGAGGATCAGGCTGAGCCATTCATCGGGAACTCTCCCGTGGCTCAAGCCGCTACTGGGAAAATCAGAGATTGCGGATGGACCTGGTGAAGGCAAAAGGTTAAATTGAAAGTCCTAAGAGTGTACATAGCCGTGTCTTCATGCCGTGTGCATCGCTTGATTCACCGAAAGGACCATATCAATCATCGCTGGCTTTTCTCCAGAACCTAGGGATGCGTGTCTTCATCCCCTTCCGCTCATGCGCCAACTGTTGGGAAAGCACTCGCAAACTCTTCAACTTGGCTCTTGAGCTCCAAAAGCTTGCCTGGAGGAGGCCACTGACAGCGGAATTGCAAGGGAACAAAATGAAACAAGTTGCTTCTGGGCAGGGCAGAGTGCCAATGCCAATGACGGTTTCCAATGATGCAATCCATTAGAGGCTTGAGAAGTGTCTTCCATCCGCCTGGAGGGCTCTCCTTCAGCACTCGCTTGAAGTCCACCAACTTCGGACCGCTCTCCTACGTGGCGTTGTTTTTTTCCGAAAACCTGGTGGACCTGGAAACCAGCAACTCACCTCAGTGTTTCGATGTGATTTGATGCGTCTCGGCCAACCATCATGTGTCAATATGACATAATATGACCATGTGACCATGGATTGAACAGACTCCTTCTGCACGGCGACCGCCACATCTACGGCACCCCCAATGAACTCCCCAATCTTTGCGAAGTCATCCTCAGCAAGACTGAATGAATCCTCGAACCATCTCCAACTCCACCTCCCCGATCCACTAACAATCGGGCAACGTTGCATACCACATTATCTCCCCATTTCACCTCTGAGTAGTACAATCAACAGTTCTTCTGACAAACCCTTTGGCAAAGAAGCTGAAGGATCAACGAACCAAAGCTCTTGCACCATTCCGTGTCCATACAAACACACCAAGCAACAAAACAAATGCCTCCTCTGTCACAAAGGTATGCGTTGGCTTGCTTTCATTTCGATAGACAGTGTGTGCCCGCCGAGCCCTCCGGGGCTGTGGAAACCGAGCCCTTCCGCCCTTTCCGTCGCCCCGCCGAGCTTCCTCCATCAAACCTCTGGAAGTCATGGCTGGAGTACCAACGCGGAGGCCGTTGGGGTTCATGGCGCTCTTGTCGCCGGGGATGGTGTTCCTGGAGGACACACACACACATGAAACAGAATCCAACGTGCAGTGGCAGTGACTGGGTATATACTTAAATTAGAAAACCTCCACAGAACCCAGAACACCCTCTGTCTGTGCGACCCAAGGATCTTGTTCAGCACAATTGAGGCCTGTTCGCAAACCAGTTCCGCCTTCGAGCCATTGATGCCTTTTGAACGCAGGTCAATCAACAGCAGGTGGTTGTCCTGAAAGTTTGCCACCCTGTGCTGCTGTTCGCTTATGTGTCAGACGTTGAACAACCGAATAATGACAAACCACAAGGTCATTGAAACTCTCGCCTACGGTGCCGGACAGTATCTAAGCAGGGGCTTAAAACAGTCCAAGGGGCTGTACCACCAGAGACCAAGTTAAAGTTGCATTTCTGCAAAGAATCACCGAAGGCTTTGGCATTCCTGGCATCTCATGGCATCTCTGCTTCTGCCGCATGAGAACGGACCTCTTCCACAAACCACTAATATGACTAGCTGGGTCTTGTTTTGACCACCTACCAAATTCGCCAAGGGTCTTCATGACCTGCTGGATGTAGGTGGCAAACTCCGGCTGCGTGGCTTGCTTCAAGGCGACAGCCAAAGCGGTAATGCTCTGATTGTGGGGGCCGCCTTGAAGACCCGGAAACACGCTCGCGTTGATGCGATCCTCCAAGTCATACATGATCGCATTCCCCTTCCTCGGGCGAGGGGCGTGCGGCGGGTGTTTCGCTTTTTCACCAAATCCAGGTGAAGAAGCTGCAGTCTGTGGCAGGGCGAAGGAAACATGTACAAGTGTATGCACTCAAGTGTTCCCCAACACAAGGAGCAAGTCAGTAAAATCGGTAATGTGGTTTGGGCATCCCCGCATACGAACCTGAGACCTGTGTGAGTCAGTTTCGCACTGTCCTTACACTCTCAGCTGTTTCCTTCAGCCCCCGTGTTCAAGCAAGCCTCTTGTCAGTTCCGCGCTGCCCTTTTCGGTAGAAAATCATAGCCCCACGAGGGCCCCGCAGGGACTTATGCGTCGTGGTGGTGACCACATCTGCATACCTCGCGCACTCTCCGTCGCAAAATGCACAAGCATGGATCTCAAGTAACTTCAACGAATAACACACATTTCTCCCCTTAATTAAGCAGCGCAAAAAGAACCTCTCGAACTTCGAAGTGACAAGTTGAACCAATTTGCTGTGACTTCATGTGACTTCTCCTCATTCTGCTAGTGCTGTGAAAACCACCTCGGTCGCTTGTCCGCTAGGCGCTTAAAGGGAATAGAACCCCCGGCGAAATCGCTCTGCCAAGGAGCTCAAAAGGAGATGGGATGCCACCACCAACTACAAGGCCAGAGATGTGAGCCATATCGGCCAAAAGGTATGCTCCACACTTGTCAGCGATCTGTCGCATCCGGCTGTAGTCAATCAGCCGAGAGTAGGCGCTAGTGCCAGCAATCAAAATCTTGGGACGGATGCGGAGCGCAAACTTCTCGCATTCATCATAATCAATGAGGCCAGTGTCTTCATTGAGCCGATATGGAATGGACTCAAAGTATTTGGAGACCATGGAAATCTTCTTGGTGTCTGTCTGGTAGCCGTGGGACAAATGGCCACCATGGGGAAGGTCCAGGCCCATGATCCGATCATGAACATCGCACAAGGCGGTGAAGACCTGGAAATTGGCTGGTGAGCCGCTCAACGACTGGACATTCACGCCCCAGTCCTGGTCGGCTGGACCCAGGACACAAGAGGAAACACGGTGAAAGCATCTGAAAGTGTGATTTCTTGAACCTCTGGCCTATATGTCTAACGGTGCATCTGAGTTTTGCAAAGTGCTATTCTGCCATTCTCTTCTGATAGATCCATAGGTGTCTATCAGCAAGTTTGCAACCCAAACTTCTTTGAAGCAAAGTCAATGTGATCTGACTGGTGCAGATCACCGCGGTGTTTCGCTCTCTTTCCCATATGGTCTCTTCAGGTCCTTCGGGTCCAATCTGCAGGCTTCTAAAGCCCTTTGCTGGCAAAGTCGTTCAGCCTGATCAATGAACTCATTCCCACCGTAGTAGCGGGCTCCTGCACCGCGAGAAGAAGAGCCAAAGAAACGTGCGACACGTCAATTCGCCACATTTCGTCCCGTGGTCGTTCGGTGACACGATGCAAGGTCTTGCCCGAAGTGTCGGTGTTGATGGTGTGGTCTGTAGGTGTAGCGGACAACTCAAGTCTACAGTACCCATGAAAAAGATCGTCATCTCTACTTTTTTGCTAAAACTCCTGGATAGCCTTCGGAGTACTTGTTCACCATGACCGAGCCAACCGCTTCCAAAACAGGCAATGGTGCAAAGTTCTCAGAGGCGATGAGGTTCACGCAGCGCCGTTGCCTGAGCATCAAAACCCCAAGCAAACCCAGCCAAACGCCAAGGTTGCATAAAAATCAACGTCAGGTAAGGTAGGGGTTGGTCCGGGGTTGGTTGGTTTGTTGAACTTTTTCAGAAATGGCTTGGTGGAAACTCAAGCTTTGCCCAAAGTACCCTGCCCCTGCCATTTTTCAACGTCACATCTGGCTTCGGCCTCCGTGTGGCTCCTGGAGGTACACTAGAAATCTAGGTCGAACATGGAATTTGTAACTCAAAAACAAGACATTCATGGGCTCTAATCTCCAAGTTGTGGCCCTGCAGGCGAATTAAATTCGTCAAATTCCTGCCTTTGAGTTGCCGTGCGCCTCCAATATTCTGCGGAGACAGTTTTGAGTTTCGGGGAGAATCGTGCTCGTCACGGCTCGCTTCGGATGCAGTCTTAACTCCTCTCGGAGGTGCCTATCCTTCTCAGCCTCAATGATGTTGTGGATTTCTGGATCCATCTCCTATCGCATATGGGCATGGAACGGTCTCAACTCAGAGCAAGTTCCTTTATGCACTGCAGAAACCGGATTGGTGAAATCAGGAGCCAAACTCCGTCCGTCCTTTAAAGGAGTGTTGAGCCTCATGGCTTCCACAGTGATGCCGCGGGCGCGGCGCAAGGCTCGTGGGCGCATGGCAGCAGCCACGGAGCGCATTGCTGTCACTGCCATAGCGAGACGCTAAAGCCACGAGCACGAGCTCTAATCACTGGCTTCACTTGAGGATCGGAAATTCAAAACATGTGTGTCACGAACACTTCCAACCCGGTCGCTGACAAGATCTGACAGGGAAGAACTGACGGCAGAAGTACATTAATTACAATTAATTACATAATTATCATAATTAACAATTCAGCTCTGCCTGCACCCTTGCTGCAATTGCTGACGCATGCGTTGAGGCCGTCCTTGCCTCTCACGCCCAAACATATTTCAGCCATGTAGATCGAGGAGGGCTTAGTGCTCTCGGCTGATTACACACCGCTACATGCAAACATATCCGAGGATAAAGAACATAAATGCATGCCTCTGAGTCATTTCCCGATGATATCTCGGGCTGTGTCGGCAGTGTGTTAAATAACACCAACTTGCAAAACAAAGGCGACACAGCCTCCTAAACCAAATGTAAAATACTACACAGTACATCAGGGTCGTGCCTCCTTCCGCCGCGCCATGCCACAGCACCGGCAGAAAAGGCCGTCTGTGTAGGGGGAATCACCTGCTTCTCTCCACCACCCTCCAAGTGGACAGCACAGGAATTATATTTACGCGACACCACCAAACGGCTCTTATAAGCTGATTTGGGTGAACAAACCTTCGGCAGCAGTATGCGCCAGCCAAAGTCCAACTGCGGACAAGAAGCAGTTTGGACAGCAGTTCGCATCTACCACCTGTCTCAGGCAGGGATGGAATGTCAACAAGCGTGTGGTACACCTGTCTGCGCGCAACACTTAAATGGTGCGCGACGCAGGATCAAGTCATAATTATATAATTACACCAAACTCATCATAAATCAATAACAAAGCGAACCAATAGCATTGACTCATTGACCACCTTTATTCAGCCTTTCCATACAGTCCAATCATGTCCAATATGTTTTTCAATGTTTTTCACAATCTGTGCCAACAACAGAGTGGCTTGGCCTTTGGTTTCTCCGTCTGAACTTCCTTGGCTTCGAAGACCTGTCGAAAACTCAGCCGCAAAAAAAATCTGGCGAAAATAGCTGTCGACGCCTGTGGACTGATCGCTGGAGGGAAGTCTTTCTCCAGGAGCGAAGTGGGAGCTTCTTTGGGAGCCTGGAGGAACATAGAATTGAATGCGAGAGAGAGAGAGAGATATATATATAAAAAGGAGCAGGCTACCAAAGTGCACAGCTTACAAGAGCACAATGCGCATGTTGGGAATGTTGGACACCAAGGCTACCAATGTTGAACAAATGTTATATATAGCCAATTGATTGGTTGATTTTGTGCAGTCTTGTGGATAAATGCAATCTGGGATGTAATGTTTGTGTGCCACGTTTTGCTCTGGTCCAATTGGCGCAGCTCAAACCCTCGGACTCGAACAAGGCCTCCACCGGAGTCTGAATCTCCATTGGCTGTGGTGGGCCTTCTGCCTGACAGTGAAGGCTTTGAACACCCAGAACGTCCTGAACAAGGCCAAGCATATCAAAGCATACCACATGCATCAAATCATTGACCATTTTTCAATCATAGATGATCATAATCATAGATGCACTTATTATTTTACACCTGTCCTACATTCTGACCTTGGACAATGTGCTCCAAAGGCTAGGTGCCAAACTGCCCATCCACCCCAAGTTCCCAAGTCAGGCAGAAGCCGTACCTTCATCTCACTTAGCGTCTTGGCGGCCTGTGGTCATCAGCGCATTAAACCACAAAATTAGACCACAAGAGCCGCCAAGAGCCGCCCATGCCCTGCTCAGTTCTGATTGTGAACTGAAGTTTTGAACGAACCTCCTACAAATAATATAGATAAACTCCTAGACTTTACTTTACTGACGCTATTAAGTACAGGCATTGGCTTTGACATTGACCTCTACCAGGTTTGCCTTCTCAGGTGTCTCGATCTTTGGATCTGCGCTTTGGCTTTTCGGCGGTGTTGACGGACCTCGGTGCCCCAACAAGCGGTCTACAAGTGCAAACTCCATGGTTTTTAGCGTCCAAACACCACCCGAAAGAGAAGCAACTCTGACTCCTGGCCCTATGCCTATTCTCATCGATTCTTCAATATTCTCCGCATATTAATGGGTTCTTCCATTCGATTCATAAAAGGCACCGGTCTCCAGTAGGCGCGCTTTGGCCTTGTTGACCAAGCCGTTGCAGTCTTTCAAGGTCTCCCTTGGAAAAGTACGCCGGCAAATGTCTCAGCATGTTCGCTTTACTCCTGCTCTCCTCGTCTCAACTTGTTCCTTCTTCGCATTGACCACCTACTAAGGTTACTAAGTTCCGATGTGGAAAGCAAGGTGTCGAGCAAAGTCAAGTGCACTCACTCAAACCAAGCAACAACAAGACGTTGCCGTCCAGCTTCAACCTTTCCTTAAGCTTGACAGAAGAAGCTGCAACTCACCCTCAAAATCACCTCAACCTTCTCCACTCTTCATTAACCCAAATCTGTCCAAACCTTTGTGGCGACGTACCTTTCCGGTCGTTTGGGCGTGGCCGCTACGGCCGCTACGGTGCCCAGTGGCCACCTCTGGACGTGCAAAGAGGTTCATCAAAGCCGTTTTCAAGCCACAGCTCTCAGCAGCAGCCAGCACCTCTGCAAGAAATAGACTGCAAGGATGTCACGTGGGCTGGTGTGAGGATGTGAAGGGTGGGCAGGGGATGTGTGAGCATGGAATTCTTTCATCTGAAGATCGAGATGTTCTTTCATGAATCAGGGGATGATTCAGTTTTGAAACGTCCTTTCTTCAGATATTTATGATGCAAGTGTCCAGGGAGCAACCTGTATAGGTCTCTTTTCGGATAAAAGTTCGTTGGGAAGGGAAGTCAATCAGCACACCAGCGGCAAGAACAAATGACACGGATGATATCATATGATTGAAAAGGGAAGCCATTGACACATTGAATGAACTTGTTTCAGAGTTTCAAGCTTGATCACCTGTGAAAACACAATGCTTACCTCACCTCTTGGCTGATCCCTGCTGTGGGAACTGGTTGCTGCTCAGCCTCACGTGAGGTTCGTTCAGTGCTGAAGAAGTGCGACATGGGTGCGCAATGTTACACAGTAAACAGCTCTCTTTCGGACATTCTCCAAGATTTCAGGGAACATCTAAACATGCCCTTAGAAAAATTGCCGGCTTTATGTCAAGCTAGGAGGCAAGCCTACCAGGCCTACCAGGCCAGTCTCTAGTTGTAGCTGAATTCTCTGTCCAGGGCTCTGCAGAAGTCAGAGTCTCAGCTTCCACCTTTGCATTCGGCGATGCCTGCCGGAAGTCGGCGAACCAATCAACATACCAGCAATGCATTCACAGTCTTCTGGTCACCCGCTTCTGCTCATTTGTGAGAGTCCCTGAAAGAGAAGACCAACCAAAATGCAGCCGAAACCCAAATGCAACCCCACTCAACTGGTGCAAATCAAACGCCCTCTGAACACACTGCCTGCCCCCTCTGACAACTCTTTGACCTCAATGATTGATGAATGAAGGGAAACTGGGCAGCACGGTGGGCACACCTTGATCTTTGCAGTCTTCGATGGCTGCGCTTCAGCTTTATCTTTGGTTTGTGCCTTTGCCTTGGCGGTCTTTGGCACCTTTGCCTCAGCTTCCTCTCCTTTCGCCTTGGCTTTAGCGGTCTTTGGCGCCTTTGCTTCGGCTTGCTCTCTTGCTTTCGCCTTTGCCTTCGCCTTCGCTTTGGCCTTTGCGTGTGCTTTTGCTTTCGCCTTTGCCTTCGCCAACAGGCCCTTCCTCGGAGACAAGCAGCAAAGTGCAACTGCACTCGACCATATATATATATATACATAGAGGAAGGTAGGTAGATGGAGGTGTCTCAATTGGGGTGAAAAAAGCGATCCCTTACATCTTGCAGCTTTGCTTCGATTTTGCCTTCGAGGGCTTAGCAGACTTGCCCTGAAGTCGTGAAACTGCTCTGGTCCCATGGATGTCCACTCAGTGAAAGAGTCACATCGACATACAGCCCAAAGGACACAACATTGTGACAAGCCGCAACACAACGTCGCGGACAAACGTCGCAAAATCCTCTGAAGAGTTATCGGCCTCCTTTTCGGCGTCTTCTTGCCCGCCAATCGCAGACTCCTGCCAGCAAACAAGTCTTACAAAAGAAAAAACACACACACACACACACACACACACGTAGCCAAAATTAGACGAAGGGCCAAGCCAGCGCATCGATTGTCTTACACTGACTGCTTAATAATTGTCACTGTTCTGGGGACTCCATCATGTGCCATCTCTCGTGCACTTACTATATGGGTCTTGCCGCATTGAATCTCTCAGATCTTTTAATGTGCAAGGTCTAGTCCCGCAGTAGAGAAGCGCATCGCAGCGCCACCGGCGAGGCCCTTTCCCATAAACAACGTCAGCACGGTCGCCTTTGCGGTGCTTTTCGCCGCGCGCCGCGGGCGTGGCGACCTGAGCGACGCTGCACCAAGCGCCGGTGGGGCGAAATCCGGACGTAAGACGTCTTAAGGCCCATCAGGCAACTGTCATCAACTGTGTATGTGCTACTTCTTGTCATCTACTTCGGGTGCTGGTAGCTTTAGGCCCCAATGAAAAACAATCAAAAGGTGCTAGTTGCCCTAGCCCAGTCCTAGCCTGACGACATCTTGTTATCATGTCCTTTCCTTTCCTTCCTCTACAATAAGCGAGTCCGAGGGCGTTCAAAAGGCAGTCTACACTACACTTTGCCCATTCTTGCGAGTCTACCCTGGCGATTGCAGGGGCTTCAAGCTTGTGACCATTCCTCTACTAAGACAAGGCTGACGGTCAGTTGGCATTCTAAAACAATTTTTTGGGAATGAAGCCGTGTGCAAACAGGGCCCCCCCAATAGAAAAATTCATGAAATTGCCTAGTCCTGCATGAGCGCAAGTAGGCTCATGATCCTCTCAGGATCCTGCTGAAAGGCTTCTGCCAAGTCTGGATTTTGTGCCACCAAAGCCATGAGCTTTGGTGGCAAGCCCTTGGCAAAGGCAGGAACGTAGGAGCTATCGAAGCGCATCGGATCAAATGCGCCGATGTCAATGGGCGGCTCTTCTCCAACAGCCAAGGCTGCCGCTGCTTCACCCATCGCTGGTCCATTCAGAATGCCCCAACAGCCACCTCCACAGGCAATGACTGCATTGGACACCTTTGGAACACGTCCCACCACTGGTCTGTTGTCGTCCGAGCCAGCCAAGAAACATGCTGTGGTCCGAATCACCGTAGCGTTTTTGAGCCTCGGGACAGCAGCGATGCTCTCTGCTTTGACTGTTTCAATCTCCTCTGCTGGAGGCTGAATCTCCAAGGGGTTGTCCGGCAAGTCTGGATGGCTTGGGCAACCATTTGCATAGCACTCGTTAGTGCGAGGGTAGATTTCCGTGTGAGCATCTCCCATGGTGAATACCATAGTTGCATCCTTGCCCACGTCTGTGTCATCCCATATGACACTGGTATATCTACTAGAAACTGTTTTCGCGGGTAAAGTGCTTCCTGGGAACCATGCACTGGCTTCACTTGCCCAAACACCCATTCCAAGGACCAGTGCGGAGCATGAGATAGAGGACTCCTTGCCATTTTGAAGGATCTTGACTGCCTTGACAGTGTCTCCATCGAGATCAACACCGACAGCCTTGGCTACTACAATTTCACAGCCGTGTCTGGCAATCGCCTCCTTCAAAGCATCCATGAGTTTGTAAGGCGTCACCTGTGCAAGCCCACTTTCATTTCCCATGTCTCTCTGGTATTGTCCTGGCGCCAACCAACTAGGTTCTGCGATGCCAGCCTCCTTTCCCAACCCTACACATTTTACACGTCGAAATCCAATGTTCTCTGCACCGAGCTCATTTGCCAACTCCTCGTGAAGTGCAAAGGATCGTTTCGCCAATCTTCCAATGGAGCCACTGTGCCACCCAGAATCACCATCCGTCAGAAATCCTCCAGCTTTACCGGAGGAATGGCATCCAACGCCACATTTCTCGATCAAAACCACCTTTCTCCCTTTCTTTTGCAAATAGAAGGCAGCCGTCACACCGACAATGCCACCACCTACGATCACCGTCGACATGCGAGTCAACCACAAAAACCACAGGAAGTACGTCCCGTCAAATGAGCTCGAGCCAAATGGGCCAGGTTGTGTCAAGCATCTCTGGCAGGAAACGGTGGCCAGCTCTGACCAAATCAATTGCTTGCTGCATGGACTTGGAAAATGCGAGCCCACAGGAACAATTTCGTTGCAATGTTCAATTTCAAACTAAGAACTGGCTGATTCTGGGTGCCAAGCTCACCATCACCGCCATCTGGTGCTAAAGCCTGCTTTGTCGGCACGAGCCGGCCGACACACAAAAGCACACACTCTTCTAAGTTAAGTTTACCAAAACATCTAGGAACCAAATGAATAGTGCGAGCGCTTTTTCAAGGAAGCTTCCATCCTGCATCACACCTTCCATCCAGCTTCCTTGAAGAAGCGTGAGCTATCCTGCGTCCATGCTAGTAGCTACTTAAGCTACTAGCTACCTCTTCTACTAGCTACCTAGCTACTACCTCTACGGCCTACCCCCCTGAAAATGCAGATGTCCTTGAGCTACCAGGTTCGTTTAGATCTTCTGGCCAGTGAGATTGAATGACATCAAGTGATCTACTTCCGAAGAGCCAACAATTGCCTCATCACCTGATGGATCTGACTTGTTCCTAAGCCATATGGGCCATGGGGGACAAACAGCGGCGCAGCAGCAAGGCTGCTCCGCGGGCGGCTCTGTGTTTCAAAACCCTTTGGCACAACACAGGAATCACTCTAAGCATCTCTAAGCCCGGGTCTGCTTGCTCTTCTTTGACTTTGTCTTCTTTGGGGCCTTTGATGGCATAGGGTGAGCATTGAAGTCTCATAGCGCTGTGAGGAGCAAATAAAAACAACACTTCAGGCCAACCATGCCTTGCCTCTCCATTCAAGTCATCGGGTGCACGCCTTGCACTTGCACGTTCAACCCAACCAAATGTGCAGGCGCCCCACACAAGCTCTTGGATCTGAAAGTGGCTCCCATTTTTCCAAAATAATCCATCCACCCCAAAACTATGTTTTTGGTCTAAATCTATATAATAGTCAATACAACTTAACCAAGCTTGTTCGAGTTTTGACGTTCCTTCTCCGAGATCCAACATGATGTCCAAGCTGCTTCTTCATCTTTGTCAGTGCAGGTGGGTTCTTCACAAACCTTGGATGTCAGAGTCTCCACCCAATCAATCTCAAGCACTCTTTAAAACAACAACGGCAACCAGTCACCAATCTTTTCAGAAGGCATTAGAGTCACCAATCTTTCCTCAGGCTCTGCGCTCAAGGAAATAGCTAATATATATATATAGTATCATATATATATATATGCATTCCAGTGAACAAAGTACTTGGGGTTTGCAAACATTCTCGAGAGATTAGCATTGAGATAGCATGCCCATAGAGCGGAATGTCAGTCGAACATTGAAACTGTACAAAACCAGTTCAAACAACCAAGGAATGACCAACCTTAAGCAAATGAACACTGTGGAAAGCACATAGCCTATAAGATGGCCAAATCAATCTGCATGGTGGATGCATGATTGTATCAATGAATAGCAATGCAACTGACCTTCTGAAGTATAAAGCTAGAACAAGCTGAACTGCAAAATGGAATCCAACGAGAAGAAAACAAGTAGAAGCAGAAAACCGTGCATTATACAATAAGCATCCACCAGAAACAACTCTCACTACAAAATAGGATTCCAGGAGGACATGCTCAGAATGCGCTGCGGTGTTCGTACTACAATGAGCGCTACGTGGTGTTCGTACGTCAATTGTGCTTCCACTTTGCCAACATTTCGAGCCACTCCACATCAACTATTCTATATAACAAAATGCACCAAATTTGCTATTATTCCAGGTGTCTTATCTCGAATCCAGGTGAACATAGTTTCTCGATATTTTGAATTGCCCGGTTATCAGGTTCTGGATGTTCTACAGTCAAGGTACCTCCGCTATAGAATGGGCAGCTGACCTGCATGTTGTACCGTTTGTACACAAACAAACAATGACCGTCAATTGTGTGTCCACCCTTCACCGGGCATTTTGTACGTTATTTTGTCCTGTTCCTCCACTCTTCTAAATCATCAATGTCGGACTCCTGTCGGACTGAATGAAAACAAAACAATCTCAAATTTCATCAGCATTCTACACATTCCGCAGCAAATGAATCCGCTGTCGACATGCTGGTAGATTCAACAAGACCCTTTTCAGGGGAGCGATCAAATGAGCGAAATGAGCAATCCTTGGCACGTCCACGGGTGTTGACGCCCAGTAGCTCTTCGGCCTCTTCACGGGTTGCGAAGCTACGATACACCACCTCGGATGCAGGGTGCGTGGTATGCAAGCATCATGAGGCCTGAAGCGAATTTTAGTGAACACATATATGTTTTGGTTGTTTTTCTTCCGAGTAGTGTTTCCTCCATGTGAGGAAGGACGAAGACTCAGCAAAGGCTTGCTGGAAGCCAAAGATTTCTGCCAAGAGATCGACTCGTATGTAAAGGAAATCACTCGCTCAATTCCCGTCCATCCCAATTTTCAGAATGAATGAAACTCAGTAGCATTGTCTTCGAAAACCAGCCCTCATCATCATGGTGTTTGTTCGTGGAGAATATGGGGAATTCCTATCCTTCGTCGCCGAGGGGCTCCTTTCACTCCATGGACATACTGCTTGCACTCCTCCCAGGAGGTGCAAATCCGGGGTTCAGGCTTTGCCACCTTGGTGAATTGTTCGAACGGTCCATGGAGTCCATGTGTTTGGTGAGAAAGGGCTGCTGGACATTGCTGGACAAAGAAACCGATGGGGTCACCACAAATAGCATCATGTCGCAAAATATGTCATAATATCATCATAATATCATATAATATCCAAAACCATCCCGCTTCATTGTTAGGTTGGATGCTTTTAGATTTTAGATGCATTTTATAAGCTTTGGGCCCTATAAAATGCCTAGAAAGGGTGGATTTTCCATAAAATGCCAAATTGAGCAAAAAACATCCAGACTATAAACTGGGGAAGGTGGATTCTGAACATTGAGAAGTAAACATTGAAAAAACAACAGGCCTATATAATGCCCATGATGGGTTCACCATAGAAAATATACAAAAAGACACTCTGTCTCTATAATGCAACGCGTGGGTGCAAACACAAAAAAGGCGAACGGCGAGCCACAATTTCCAAAACTATGAAATGCCAAGACAAAAGTCGCACAAGACAGGACATGAAGGGAAAACATGGTTCACCGTTCCGGGGAGGGACACGGGGAGGAAACTGGAACGAGAGATCCCACAAAAACCGCGGTTGCGGGGGCACCGTTCCCTCCCCCGTTAAGGGGCACAGCCGAAAGGCCAACCGGTCTCTCCCCTTAAGGGAGGAGACACAGAGACAGGGGGAGAGAAAGAGTAGAAACAGTTTAAATTGTTAATTGTTAATTATATATTTGGCTGGTCATATTCTTTCGGTTCCTTTCTTCCATTGATGTTTAGAGTCTGTTTGAAGGAAATGTTGAAACACATGTTTGTAAAAAACATGGAAAATCACTAAATTTAAAGTAGTTTCCTGCTCTAATCCCTTCATGTCCTGTCTTCCCTTCATGTTAGTTTCCTGCTTTTAATGTGTCCTTTTAGTTGGGTCATGTATGAACTTAAGAACATTGACAAAACCATGTTGATTATAAAATGCCCTTGGTGGGTCCTGTCCTCATCTAAGAGAAAAAAACAGTTGCCTATAAAAGGCCCTGACCAGGTGCCACTATCTAAATTTAGAAAAATCAACTCCTGCTATAAAATGCCCCCTGGACCCAAACAGCCTCAATATCACTCAAGTTTATGAAGTGCAAAAATGGACCTCGTACCTCCTAAACCCTCAAAAAAAACACCAAAATTCCAAGTGTGCACCGCATGTGTCCCTTATAAAATGAGGGTCAAAATTGGCAAAATATAAGCACAAAAGCATCGGCTTTTTATAAGCGAAAACCGGTGGGGGATCCAAAGCCCGTAGTGTGTGGGGTAATTAATCTGCTTTCGTGTAACACGTTACAGTACATAGTTTACAGCTTGCACCGATGTAAGGAACCCAAAACTCAAATTAAACAGCGATGGCCTCCAACCTAGTAGCAATGGCCTCCAACCTAGTAGCAGTGGCCTCCAACCTAGTAACAATGGCCTTCGACCTAGTAGCGATGGCCTCCAACCTAG